ACTATGTCTAAATACAAATGTGTAAATCAGTTATCTGCTCACCACTCATTGCGTGCGTCTGTCGTGGCGCGTTTTCGTTGGTTGATATAATGGTCTATATCAACCAATTAGGAACTACTCGTAAGTGCTACAGAATATTTGTCCTTATGACAATATTCTGAGAATATAACTCTTATAGTTATATTCTATTAACAATTTCTTATAAATTGTTATGTAACGATTCACCCCGTTACAGTAACGATTCACCCCGTTACATCTACGCACGTTGAAGCCTCGTATCTCCTACCACGTGACTTCGCAGGCGACGTGTTCGTCATCATTGAACCAGGTACTTCCGGCTGATCAGTCCTCTAGCTGAACAAAGTGTTGAACAACTGCGTATCATTGCTGCTGCTTTACGGCCATACTTTGGAGTAGCGGCATGCTTATTGCTTTAGTATGTACACGCGCGTGATCGGGCTGTCGGGCGATGTGTATTCCTGATGTCTAGTATACAGCGTAATAAGCCACTTGCACCAATAACATTCCTGACGGACTGGAATTGCCAAGCTACATGCATCATATCGAAGATTTCGCAAGTCAATGACGTTAGCCAGGTTTTACCTGAACACGACTATACAGTCAGAAAAAACCAATGCTTCGGTAATAACGTGCGAGGTGTTGCCCGTCGACCAGTTTTATTTGATGATGTTTATTGATAGTATATGCAGCTTCTCGTGCGAGATATCTGATACGGCTAGCCGATGAAAAACCAAAGCTGGCACTGACGGGTTTCCGCGTATGGGACCAAATCTATTGGTAAACGAGTGACGCAGTCCACGCGCTTTCTGGAAACTTGTCTTGTCGCGGAGTCGAACGCATAAGAACTCTGTGCCTTTTATGTATTCTACCATCCTGAGATATACAGACTTGTCGTACACACAATCCATTACGATACAGAATTTTCTCGTATCGGGATTCAAGTTCAGCGAGTTGGCTCGACATGCTGTACCGCCTCAGAACACGTTTGCTGACGAACTTTCTATAGCGTTGTTAACAGACTGGCTACAGGTCGTAGCTAATGTAAATCAGAATCAAGGGATTTCTTGAGACTACCCAAAAAGGCCATCCTGATGCAGCGCTTTTACCGGGGCTAGGGAGGATTAGCGCACTCTATCATCCGCAACCGAAAAGTCTTATCTGGTCCATTCGTCGTGTCGTGAAAGTAGCAGCCCACAAGATATTGCAGCGTGCGAATTGGTGCAACGCAAGTCGCCCGACTGATGCCGACTCCACTCCATCTCTAACAGCGAAAATGTCGGATCGTACAAACGTTCGGTACTCTCGGCCAACCACTCCTCCCTGTTTTCCATTACAATTTCGCGTGTAATAAAGAATGACACAACACTAAAATTTCTAGCCTTCAATGTTTGGCAAAAAGCCCTATCGTATGGCAGATCACGACCCTTTCGTAACGAAAATATACAAAGCGAATGATCGCTGCAAGAAATATCACTACCAGTGCGTGGCACGGAGCACATATTGATAGTCGAGCATGATTGCAGGTAGTTGGCCTAACAGGATCAACACGGTGCTATCAAAGCAAATTCTGCACATCAGCTACAGCCTCGATGCATAACTTGTTGAATAGCCTTCATTGTGTATTCATTGTCCTGAATATATTGTGCTCATTCCCGAACTCAGCTGTCACAACCGCGCCACAAAACTCATACCAATACACTGACTCAAAAACTAGATGTCGTCCGTCAAGTCGTGGCTCTTGAATCATTCTTAAAGGGCTAAGAACACGACTAAAAGTGAAGTCATGTGCCACCCTCAACGTGCGTCCCGTTACTTCAATAATAATTACCAGCGTCCAGTCTGCATGTGATTTAATAGTACCACTAGACTTTATGTTGAAGCACCATTGACAAAACGTGGACGGCACATTTCCATTTCAATTCTTGGTAGCTAAACTTTGACCGTGAACGATTCATGCAAAAAACATTAGGACGTGGATTTCATCGAATCACCACCGCTTCTCTCTTCGTACAATAACGCTTGGCATTTTTGCAAACGTACTGACGCCGCCTCCTAGCACAATTCTTTCCTTTGGCTTTTCTTAACATGTAGAGGTAGACTTTTCATCTACACTGCAGTGGCATGAAGATTCATATCTAGTGGAATTACAACGTATCGCTTACTCGCAACTATGCAGCCTGTGGTACTGATATAAATCGTATCAAGGTCCGTTTATGAGCTCGAAGAGACAGCTTCATCCGCCGCATTAACATCATATAGCTTGACGCCACTGCTGGCAGCGTCGTAGTTCTGTTCCCACACAAGGGACATTATTCTGATAGTATTTAAATACATGAGTGGTTTTTCACGTGTGTTAAAATGCTACGATGACATCAGCCGCACAATAGTCTTGCATGCTTGTCGCCCGCCGAGTAGATATTGCAGAGACTTTAGACGTCCCCTATCCACACTTCCAGCATTATCAGCAGCTTTGTAGGCCATCCAGGGTTTACATCTTGACTTTTGCCTCCCTATTGTGCGAAACATTTTCGAGCAATATTTTTGACCTTCTACTTAGTTGGATGCCAGGAGTAATTCAGTCAAGTCGTTCCCGACAAACATGCGTCCAGGAAGCAGCTTGACACACATTTGTTGATTTAGTGCGCGCGTATTCGACGGAAATTACTCTCGGACGAAGTGCAGTGGACTACGGGCGACGTCGACCGTGGATTTTCCGTCACTACGTACTACGTAACAGCATCTCGATCTCTCCATGAAATAAGCCTTTGCTTTCCATAAACGCTGAATAGCACCACGTACACACACAGATTGGCTGGATATTCCTTGATCAACTTGATCTACCTGATAGCTCCTAGGTTTGTGTCGACTAACACTTTTTGCGAACATCGTTAGACTGCTGTCACAGGTTCCTCCTTCCCCGAACTCGTAGAAGTTTGAAAATTGAATCGTATCTAAAGAAAATACAGAGCCATCTTAGTAAAACGTTTATCGCAAAAGCCCACCACGCACTCTTTTACTATTCACGGCAATCTGTCATTTTACCCAGTACGCATCTGTGGTCAGCATATGAAAACCTTCATCGAGCACCTTCTGAGGTTGAGAGGAAATGCAAATACGAACCTTCTGCGTCTATATGAACGTAAATTGTATATTCTACTCAAAGCTTACTCGAGGTACAAAGTTTTACTGCCTCGAGCGGTCGTAATGCAGTTTGAGCTTTAGCCATGTCGAATATCGCGTAGCGGTCGCCGATAGCAGATAGATGCAAAGCGTCCATCAGGCAATCAAAAGACGTCACTGGATCGTATCCCGGCTTGATCAATGTCACACTGGAAAGGTAACTTCCTTCCCTAAACGTAAATCGCCAGTGTGTTGCGTACTTGTGTTTTATGGGTATGCAATTCACTAGCGGTTTACGTGTACGGAAATGAGTTAATGTCTTCACTTCTACCAAAGAGTAGTCTTTCGTACAGCGGACCATTGGTCTCACAGCGAGCCTCAAGTAGTTAAGGTTGATTGTCGGATCGCCACCCACAATTCCTGTAGTTTGACCAGCACACAGTGAAGCTAAAATATCTCACGAATCTTAACAGCCCTAGCATTGCCTGCATGAAGCGATACCGGCTCGATGGAAGGCGCATATTTCATCACTATTTTGCATGTCAGTGAATGATGACAGAAACACCTTCACTATCGCACATGTACAAACACCATTGATGGTTGAGTTTGCTGGATAAATTGTATCGCTTGCTACTTGAGACATGCACGCTACCGAACGAGTACTTCCACACGCGGTGGCTCCAAAAGTAAGCTATGTGCGTGCATGTGAATATAGTGATCTTGTGATCAAGTAAGTATGGTTCTTTGGCACCACATTGACATGCAGCTTTCCGGACAGACGTGGCCGTGACTCAAATTGCGACGCGCGTGCCGACTAGGCGACAAGCAGCCTTTTTACATGTGCATAGGGCACACGACACGAGCGTATGAGGCAGGACTCAGCAATCATTGATACTGACGGGCATCGGCGCTCCTCGTCGGTCCGGATGTGCGCTACGTGCGAGTACCACATGAAGTCGAGTCTGGCCAGCGCTAGCTAGAGAGCGACGGCTTTTGCTGTCGCGTGTTGATCCGACAAGACGTTCCCCCTTCTGCACATTTCAACGACATCTGAGGCACGGACTTTCGTTCAGAGAGCCTTCAGCTGCGACAGCGGTCTTACGCATGAGTCAGCCTTTTTTATTTGCTCGAAGACGGGACAGTGACTTTCCGCTTTATCTGGACCGTTAAATAGTAGACCAAGCTCTGTCGGGGACAGTGACTATGCTGTGGGCAGGTGATGAAGCTTTTTGACCAGCTATGTATGATAGCTGGTCAAAAAGCTTGCTACCTAGGTTTTGAAATGGCTTTTGCTGACGAGTTACTGCACGATGTGACACAGCTAATCGTTGGCATCGCAGGAACGCGAGCTTCAAGACTGGGGTGCAATCAAGCAGTAAGTCGATTTCAAGCAAGCTGACGCGTCACCTAACATCTTCCTTCGACCAAAAATGCACATTGGACCGCTCCTAGCACTAAGTGCCGGTTATTACTTCTGCTTTAGGCAAGTCGTGCAATGCTGTGATATTTGCGTTTGCACGTAGATGTCAGCATACGGCCGTGGCCGTCATTGAGGATTTCAATGTTAGTGCAATTGAGCCTGCTCTAGACGGGACACGTGCCTTTTTTAAAGCTGTCACACATCTACATGTGCGGTCGTACGAGTCCAGCCGTTTGCTGCGACCATGAACGGCAGATGGGCGGCGCAACCTGTTTACTTTGAGATAGAATCATGCCTGTCTATCAACGACCTCTATTTGACTGGGGTTTCTACCGGGCGGGTACAGCTTGCTCACAATCACACTCGCAAAGTCTTGGCCACACGGCGCAACTCCGCTCTGTATCATTTCCGGGGGTCTTCATTCCAGTTTTCTATAAGCATGTTCCAGGTCACCGGTCCAATGCTACACGAAATCATGCATCCGCGCACGCGTTTCCCTCTGGAGCTGTGTGACCCGTCACCTTTCGAGCCCAGCAAGCTCTTTCTAACATTCTCGATGTCTGAACTAAACACCAACAGTGTTGCCTCTACAACGCCAAGTGATGTCTCGTGCGTTTCGACGCCGGTACTGCGCGAGCGCATGAGTCTCAGCTTCATCACAAATCCGGATCCGGTGTTTTCGACCTCAGCTCTAGACGCCTCGCACGCTCATAGCATCATTTGTGCCAAGAAGAATTGCTACCGCTCCGCCAACATCCTATTTGGGACCTACTGCGAGTATCATAAGCCCAGTCGGCTCTGCAAAGTACCGGAATGCCGCAAATGCGCCAAAACTGGGGGATTCTGTATCTCGCACGGGGGCGGTAGACGATGCCGTCACGAGGGATGCATCAAGAGCGCTAAGGAAGGTGGCTACTGTATTGCCCACGGAGGTGGCAAGCGTTGCCGTAAAGATGGCTGTTCCAAGTCCGCTCTGGCTGGTGGTCTGTGTTCCGCGCATGGCGGAGGCAAGCGCTGTAGCGCATTCTCGTGCTCCAAGACGGCACTAAAGGGCGGACGCTGTATCGCCCACGGCGGTGGTAGAAGGTGTGAAGCATCCGGTTGCCCCAAGAGCGCCGTAGGCGGGCACTTGTGTGTATCGCACGGCGGTGGTCGCCGTTGCCGAGAAGTAGGCTGCAACAAGGGTGCCGTTCGTCGTGGAGTATGCATTCGTCACGGAGCGCGACGCGAATGAAGAGGTTGTATTCCACTAATGACACCATCGTTGTTAATTGTAAAGAGGCCAGATTAGTTTAGGAGCTCACGTCTTCATGTAAGCGCATGGTAGTTCTGCCGACCTACCAGCCTTCGCATAATTGTCAAAAAGGGACGCAGCACAGTCACAACCTCCGTAATTTGTTAGCCCGCCTCCCATATGATACATTCATAGTTGTGGTGTCATACGGTGTGGTATTTCGAAAACCGACACTGTATCGGTCGCTCCCATGCTCCGGACGTCGTCTCTGGTAGTATCAGTGCTCAAAAGTCCAACACACCTGGTGAGTCAGCGGTAGGCCGGTCACATTCTTACCGGCCGAATCCATCTGGAGAAACGCCATGATTGTCAAGCGGGCTTTGCAGTTGCTGACATATGGATGTAAAGGCTTTGTGCGGTCCCGCCACTAATCGCACAATCCTTTCACACTGCTTTGCACAAAAATTCACTTCCCGCGCATCTTATTTAGGCGCCGATGAGTCTCGCCGAGTCGCGTGGACACGCTTTCGTACTGAAGATAGGTACGCTTGGCGTTGTAGGTATGCAGGTGAAGGGATCAATAACCATCGAGATAGATCGTATCAGTGCGGGTTAACATCATGTGCGCCAATCGAGAAGAAAAGCACCGACCTAATAAAACACGACAAGAATAGAAAATAGAATCTGCATGATTTCAAAACAAATACATCGAAGGTAGGTCAATAGACGTATACTGGCTGATTTCTATAATTTTATACCTTACCTAATGTACCAAGACCAAGGGTAGTGCGCTCAGCCATATTTCCTTGTCGTCCTAGGCCCTACCTCCGTGAAGCTTTCGAGGTGAGCTGCGAGGTATCCGTGTACAGACACGGATCCTAAATCATTTCTTTGTCTGGATATGGATCCCTTACTCATTCCAAGCTATTACTCCCTGAATTAAAACATGATAAGGTATGTGTCTTTCTCTTTCTTTGGAATATGACGTCTTGTCGTACCAGTGACTCGGCTGCATCAGGACCCCTTGCTATTTATCTGTCCTGTTCGATGACAGAAAGTAACAACGCGCCTTGGAGTGAGAGAACTTGTCTTTACCATGCAAAATTGTCTGCGTTTTTATCGTTCGAGTGAAGGGCGGTCCAAACTGCGATTCAGATGATGAGTATAAGTGTTATTTTGAAGCGCCGGGCGGACCAAGACTCATTGCACAGTATCCCATGGAATGAGCCATGGTACTGTCCTGGCCTCTTGTCGAAGCCCTTGAAGAAGCACACTCGATCGAGCAACTGCCTTGTGGGCTTCCGTCGTCGGATCGTGGACGACGAGAGGAGTCACAACTATTATCCCACCGAAGATAATGTCGATCAATGCAAAGATTTATAAATGCGGTGGAGCGGCGAGAGTGGCCCTTGCCTATGTAAAGCTTGAGTCGTGCAAGGTATAGCACAGGTATAGCACATCGCCCAAAAACAATCGGCAGCTCTTTACTGAGCTCGCGCATACTTGTTCCTTCTCGTTTCTGGTGGAAAGAGACAGAGAAATGAGCACCCAAGAAGCCTGTCGCCAACTCGTCCTGCTTTCGATCAGCTTGCGGCTAAATACTGACCTTCTAAGCTTCGCCTTCTGAAACTGCGAGCGCCTCATTTCCCCCCAGCGCATGAGTGTGACTGCTGATCTTCGTTGCGACTTTTACTGACCGAAGCAAAAACTCTCGAAAGGGCCTTTGGCTCCGTACAGCCACCTATCCTTTCATCCACGTTAGAGTCATGCATGCAATTCTCGTGTAATACAGTGTCGTTTTAAGACGTCGTTTCTTTTACTACTGCTGTGCCTATTGCGGCATTCATGGTTAGCAAGTTCGCACTAAGCACCATCCGTCGACAAAAATGAGTGGTACAGTTTGTGGGTGAGAAACACCCTATTCCGTAGATTTATGAAAAGATCGTTCTATTTGCCACAACGATTCAATAACAGGTCTTAATTCGACGTGAAACCAACGACTGCGCCCACGGGCTGCAGCACCCAATTGGTCACTGCGAGATTCGAGCTGATCGACAGCTTTCATCGACACACCGTCTGCATGTACTGGCCAACGTGCAAGAATTCGAGAGCCTAGTAACGTCTTTGTGGCAGCTTGGTACTGCTCGGCTCCCGAACTGTACCAGTTCGATGATCGATTCACACGATTGATCAAGATCAATAGCTTGAGCCTAGTATCGTCTTTGTGGCGGTTTGTGATCGGTCGTCACCAGCCTCATTTCCACGATCAGATACGTACAGCCTGCTATCGTGATATTGACAGCAGCACGTGAGCAACACGCAACCAGTAGCCAATCAATCAAGCACCGCCCACCCTCGCTTCAACGACCCATGCTCAGCAGTGTCTGCCCTTTGTGGCACGAGAGCGTGCATTGTGTACTCGCCATGTAGAGGATTCTCCCGACCTGTCTGCCACGTAATACCACGTTTCAAGGAGCATCTTTTCAGCAAAAGGAGAGACTGTGGTAAAGCAGGCGTTTCCACTTCAAGGGGAGCAGAATCTTGACTGACGACAGCCGAAAATAACGTGTAAACGAGGTGCATAAAAGCTCGCTAATATTCAGGCGTCTTTTCTATACTTGAATTCTGGAAACACGACGACAACATTCTGTCGTACGCTGTATATTGCATTTGACGACATTGCCGTTCGTCATCGGTAAGATTTTGAGATAATATAGAGCGTAACGAATGAACGATATAGAGAATTCCCCGGCAGCACGCAACATCAACAGTTGCTTTAATCACCAACTCGGCTTGTGCGTCGTAGTATCCTAGCCCTGGTGACCAAAGGGAACGTGAGAGTCAAGCGAGTTTGCAATGTCGCTCCGTCCGAGGCGGCTATTACATCAAACACTGCAAGTTGATCGTCAAAAAGTCAGTCATGCGTAGATATAAGCTTAGAAAATGATATTTGCGTAATTTATGCTTCTTTTCCCTCCGACCTTTCGATCACTTGGCACCCTACCTAATCTATGTATGAGTACATGTCGGTCTTGCCTGACAGCAAATTATCACAAGAATGTGGGGGTCCCGGAGAGTAGCAATCTTGAGTATAGCTGGCAAGTTAAAGCAATTGAGGCTTCGGCGAGCACTACATCCATTACAATGCAACTTTGAATGTCTCTGTTCGTGCGTCTGCGAACCTTTAAGTTGAGGGGAGGTAGCTGTGTATGGTGTAAATCCGAGCTCGGCAATGTCACTCTACATCACAGGCATTTATATTAAAGCAAGCGACTACACCAATGTCACGATCGCATTCGAAGCGTTGATATCATAAATGGGATGCACAACATCATCACACGTAAGGTAGTTTACTGCAATCAGCAATGACACTCGAATGCTGCACGAACGGTTTAATGTACTGCAGAGATCAAAATTATGTATTCGCCAGCAACCGGACGATGCCAGATTGGTTCACGTCACATCTACTTGGTTGTCATTCAAATTGAACTTGATCATGAGGTGGGATGTACGACGTTGAAGGGCACTACTGGTGCAAATGGGTCGAGTAATGGGTGGAAAAATGAGGTCATGTACAAAGATGGCGTATTGCTTTTGCTTTTTTCAGTGCTCCATGCAACAACGCCGGAGGAATGAGCTTGCTGACCGATATTTTAAGACCACTTGCCAAGTCTGTTCCTCAGATTGAAGAATGTGTCGCACCTATTGCGGTGTACACCCTTATATAGTGCGAATGTGATGCCTCGATCCACCTGATCCATTTTCAGCTTTTCTGATTTGACATTTTGGACTTTTGAATCGATGCACAGCTGCACAGCACATGCAATGTACCAGATTGCGAAGGTAAAAGAATAGTGCGAAAGTCATTTGCAAGGTATCTGAGATGAGCAGTGGCAACCGTACAGACGAAATTCCAGAGCTGCTACAGCAAGACTTCCTAATTTATTATCGTACCTGTTAAAATCGTGGTCATCAAAGGATAAGGCTTACCTATCAACGGATCAGAACATTCTTTTACCGGTGAGGTCTGTATCAAAGCGTGCGAAGTACGTGAAAATTGTGTAGATTGTGAGGTGGGCGAAGGACGCCCACACGGTCGGGGCGGGTCATCTAATAATTTGCAAGCAGTTTATTATTTTCAAACTCCGGCTTAGAATCATTTTCTTTCTCCTGCAATCCTTTACAGGAAAACGGTGTTACCTAGTGATGTATTGATGCTGGTGCTGATATTATCAACAAAAAGTTGTGTTCACTCGATGAGTTAGGTGAAAAGTACAAAAATTTTGACTGTACAAATGTTTCACACGTCGAATTACGGTGTAAACCCTTTATTTATTTTTTTACATTTTTCTTCAAGACAACTACTGCTCATTCTATTAAGCATTTCTTAAGACCCCCAAAAATCAGTGTCAATGTCAATCTAGCGTCTTAAAGCGTCCACCACCCTATGGATATACTACGAGTGAGTGCGATGGCTGTAGCGGGGTAGCCTGTTACATGATATAACACCAAACGGTGTCAGTAGGGAGATTGTCTAGCGTGACAATTCTTTACCAAGATTATCCGAGATGAATAATATTGAAGGAATATCGCCCCCTTGTAGAATAATTTAAATGCGCTGCTCCAAGATTGGTTGGCAAAGATACATTAACCATAGATTTCCACTAATCGCTGCTAGACGCGCGCAATGAGTGGTGAGCAGGTTGTCGTCAAACGACGGCGTAGTTTAACATAGCTAGATAAAGATTAAAGTAGTATTGATAGCTTAACTGAATTAAATACACTTCTCTTTTATACTTACTCAAACTAGCTGTTTAAGTAAATTAACCTCCTCAGAACTTTTTAGTTAACGTGGAGTGTCATGGCACCCCAAACAATGGGTGCCCCGTTGCACCTGGTAGCAATTCGTAGTCCGTCCAACGACTACTAAGTGTTCGTCCAACATGAACATGTTGAACGTGGATGACGGCGGCAATCACGCCACATGTGAAGGCTACTCC